TGTTTGATAATCCTGTTGATCTCAAATCATATCGCTTATACTACGCTAAATTTGTATGACATCTACTGCATATGTATATAGATATTTTTTTTCTTATATGTCATGACATCATTTTTGCATAGCATGTACCTCTGAATATGGTAAAATACAAAAATCTGCTGTTTGTTGCATATTGAGTCGACCATAACAGGGCAGCGGTCGGCGCACCCTGTTAACTTTTGTATCTGGTGAAAAATCTGAAGCATGCGTCGACGCATGCAGAAGCTACCGTCGACGGCTCGCGCAAAAACCCAGTTTTCCTGATTACTTGACGGTTCAGTTTTTTTTTTTTTGGGCAGTTACACTTGCATTTATCTTCATTACTAGAAACCCACACCTACTACCCCTACTAACTCTCTTCATCTCCTCACATTTTCCAATCAAACCCTAATCCTTACATTAAACAAGGGTTATCTCTCTCCTTCTTCTCAAAATTCAAAATCCTTCATCTCAAAACTCTTCATTCTCCATCACATTGGTAAAGAGTTCCTTGTACCCACAAAACTATACCCATGGCTTCTTCCTCTAGACCTACAAGAAAGAGATCAAGAGGGTCAACCTCCGGAACAGTGCCAATCACTGCAGAATCCCTGGTTCATCCGTCTCGTCGGGAAAACTTTAACAAAGACATTGGTAAGAGGAAAGTGGTTCGACAACACGCCTTCTATGAACTGGTTGCTGAACGCATGCATCTGGGTAAGTTCATGAACTTTCTTACTTATCATGGTGTTGAACGATTTGTTGAATGCAATGTACAATATAGCGAAGATCTGGTGCGTGTCTTTTACTCTGAATTGAATGATAAATTTCACGGAGAAAACTTTCATTCCCATATTGGAACAACTCAAGTGACTGTAAATACTGAATTCTGGAGTAAGTATTTTGATATGTCTGTAGAGGATGGTGAACCTCCCCTAGCCGAAGTGACCGATTCTAAAACTCTTGAAGGTTATGAGTATAACAAAGCACTGAATAATATGCTCAAGAGGCCTTATCCGGAGCACATTGTAAACAGTGCGGCTTTTCCGAGGTCCGTCACATCCGGAAAACTCAGATCATTTCCAAGGATCCTTCAATGGATTGTGGCGCGCATTCTGCGGCCTAAACAAGGTGGTTTGTCAAGAGTCGAACAAGCTGAAGTGCATCTCATCCATATACTAGGTCACGGCATTAAAATTAACTGGCCGTACTATATTACAAGCCGGATGTATGAACTAAGAGACTCCAAGCGAGGCACCGCGCTCGCCTATGGCTCATTCATTCAGGAAGCTTTAAACTCTGCAGGTATCAATTACCCGTCTTTTCCGTATACTCCAATTTCTTCCGATAAAGAGTTCAGTTCAAAGGTCTTTGCTATGATGGGATATGTGTGGGATCAGTCGCTCAAAAAGTACAGATTTTATCGGCGCTCAACCATGGCTGCAGCTGCCTCCTCGAGTGAAGAAAGTGCTGATGAGTCAGAGGGTGGAGAAGATGAAGAAGCAGAAGGAAGCTCAAGTGAAGATGAAGACAATCAAGGTGACAATGCAGGAGAGGCACAAGAAACCGCTGATGAGACTCAGCTGGACCACGATATTAATGAAGGTCATCAACCATACGTGCCTTCTGAAAACTATCAACAAACATATCAAGATGACAATCAACACAATAACTGGTCTGCCTACTCAAACCAACAGGAAAATGAGGATGAGGAGAATAACCAAGGCTGGGGTGAATGGCAATACACCGGGTGGACCACCCTTGGCAAATTCTATCAGCCGTATCAACCAAGCACTGCAGACCCACCTTCTCCTCAACAACCGTCAAACAATTCGGAGATTTTAGAAATGATGCAGTCGATGCAGTTGGAACAGCGAAATTTTATGACCAATATGCAGGAACAACAGCAAAAATTCATGAGGGATCAAAATGAAAGAATGGCACAAATTTGTTCTGAACTACATAACCAAAATGAACGGATCAGTGGAATGTCGACTCAGCTGGACGCTCGATTCGAGACTCTAACTCACTGTCATCAAGCTGAAGAGCGCGCCATTGTCGACAGTCTTGACTTTTTGAATAACATCACAGAAGAATTTACTGATCTAGCTCATCCCCAACGCCATCCTCATTACTATGACAGGCGTGGTCGTGGTCGCGGACGTGGACGGGGCTATTAGCATGCGCTCATATGTCATTTGTTGTTTCCTGTTTTGGCTTGCATTCATTTTGTTTGTTGTGTGTTGCTTTTCTGCCCAAACTCACTATGATTGTTGCTTACTTCTATGTTGCTATCATGACATTTTTGTGGTTCTGTAATCTATTAACTGTTATCTCCATCGTATGTATAACTGTTGTTTACTTCTCATCTGTTGGTATCTCATTTATGCATGATTCAATGTGTTGTTATTGTGTCACGAGTTTACCTCTTTTTGATGTTGTCAAAGGGGGAGAACCGAGCAGTAGATAGACGATGATTACGACCGCTATAATTGTAAAAGAAAGGGGGAGCATACCTATACCTATCACGTGTTGCGTAACAGTAGGTTGCCATCATCAAAAAGGGGGAGAATGTGAAGGCAAAGTATCTACCAACACAAGCGTGCCTCTGGTTTTTGATGATGACAACTTGCTAAGAGATATCCTTCTTTCGTTTAAATCATTCACGCTACTTATGATTCAATTTTTACAATGACGTAATGCACAAAAAGCTGTAGAAATTTATGTTTTTGCAGATTTTTGAACCATGAGCCGACCATACCGTCAGCACACAGTTTCATTCAGTTCACACGGCTCAGCGCATGAAGGTCATGCGTCGACCGTTAACTTGGCGCATGCAGGTTTAAGAATCAGACGGCTCAGCGCATGAAGATCATGCGTCGACCGCTGACTCGGCGCATGACAGTTTGAGTGTCACACGGCTCAGCGCACGCCGACCCTATGGTCGACCGTTCGCGCGCAGAAACAGAAATTCTGCTATGTTTCATTGATCTGTCAACTGTCTGTTTTGTATATTACTATAAATAGCTGTCTTTTCAATTTTAACAACAGAACATTTTTGAAAGCATTGTGAGAAAGTGTTCAGGTCAAGAAACGTGAAAGAGGTGCATCAGTGTTCTTCATCTTCATCGTTCAATCAACTCACAAATCCTCAAATTACAGATAATCAATTTTTTTGCTGCGGTTTGTGGTTTGCTCGACGGTGATAAGGTTCGAACGCGTGATTGAAGATCCGGTTCGAGTGGAAGCTGGTGCAGGTGTTTCTTGGGAGAAAACCTTTGAGGTTTTACCTATCAAGACTACAGGTTTTGAAGGCTTTTGTTACGGAATCGTCGGTTCAACAATCAAGCGAGTGCGAAGGTGATTGATTAGCGGAAGGTTGATCAATCTAGTAGCTAGGGCGTTGAAAGGTTGAAGACGTTCCGGGTTCAATTTGGGTGTGTCTAAGATCAGCCGTGCCGAAGGTTTGATCAACGGAAGAGTTGTCAATAAGGTGGCTGCAATCGGAGGTCATTCACATCAAATTGGAGGACTTGATTCATCTTGAATCAAGGGGTAAGAAGTGGTAGAAATTATCAGCAACATTAAGATTGTTTGTATCAATTGTCTATCGATTCTTGTGTATAACTGTTCTACCAAACAGGTGATATCTATTCAATACATATCTCAATTCTCATTGTAGAATTGAGGGCAGACGTACCCCAACGCGAGGACGACTGGGGGAACTGCCTCATCAAATCTTGTGTTCCTTTATTTTCTGCATTTTCAATTACAGCTTAAAAATTAAGTGATTCTAGAATAAGTGATTTTGTCAAATTGTAGTATTGATTGAGTGAGTTGGTGAAACACTGTTTTTTAACTACTAAGTACAATAGAAATACTGTACTAAGGCTTTTTCAATCACTCATTCAACACAAATATCATTTAAGGTATTTGTGCACACCAACTGTTCGACAAAAGTGCTGAACTAAAATTGCCTTAATTTTGCTGCTAGTTTTGGTGTAATTTTTTATCATTGGAATAAGGAAATAGTACGAGTGAATCACATCTGAGTTTTGCATAAAAGTGTGTAGTGATTTACTATCCGTTATCGTCTTAAATTCATCTGCTTGACGCATATCCGGCTCTCCAATAGTTGTTCGTTTTAGACTATATTTTCCAAGGCCGCTTCCGCATTTGAAAACAATTTTGAAAACCAATTTTATTGGTAGCGCCACTCAAATTTTTAAAAGGGATCTATTCAACCCCCCCTTCTAGATCCGTGCCTTAGTCTAACAAAACTTCCATTTGTCCATATTTCGAGAAATAGTATGTCTTGTTTTTCATTTCCATTCACATAAGAATGAATACTATAATTTGCATTTCTAACAGGCATGAATACAGCATCTATAGTATAACTTCCATCTTGAATGTTGTTTAGTGTTTTTATACGATATCCCCGCTTTCTCTCAATTTGTAATTCAATACACAAATTAATAGGTTCCGTTAGGTTAGCTATATGTTGTGTCTTATCAATGACTTCCACCGAAGGTGGTAAAATGATGTCTTGAGCAGTTACATATCCAGGACCTTTGAAAGAAATAGACGCCTCCCGAGTTCCATACAGATTACTTCTCAATACAATTTCTTTCAAATTCATTAAAATTTCATGTATTGATTCTTGAATACCTACTACGGTAGAATATTCATGTGGTATTTTCTCAGATTTTGCACGTGTGATACATGTTCCGTCTATTTCTCCGAGCAAAATTCTTCGCATTGCAATGCCTATTGTATCTGCTTGACCTTTCAGAAGTGGAGACAGAATAAAGCGTCCATAATAAAGACGCTTACTGTCTACCCTTGATTCAACACACTTCCACTGTAGTGTCTTAGTAGATACTTTTAGTTTTTCTCGAATCATAGTAATCTATTTTTATGAAACTCTTGATTTAATTGTTTATTTCTCTTGAAATCTTTTTCTTTCATATTTATTGTTTGTTTTACACACGTCTTTTTTTAGGAGCCCTACATCCATTATATGGTATAGGGGTTACATCCCGTATAACGTTTAATAGTATCCCACTTCGAACAATAACTCTTAATGCCGCATCTCTTCCTCGACCGGGACCCTTTATGCTGACGTCTGCTTGTTGCATGCCTTGATCGACTACTGTTCGAAGAGCATTTCCTGTTGCAGTTGTAGCGGCAAATGGTGTCCCCCTTCGTGTACCCTTGAATCCACATGAACCTGCGAAGGACCAAGAAATCACCCGACCTCCTACATCTGTAACAGTCACAATGGTATTATTGAAACTAGCTTGAATATAAATAACCCCCTTTGGTATTTTACGCGGATGCTTACGCGAACCAATACGTCCAGTTTTCCGTGAACCAAGTTTTGGTATAGATTTTGCCATTTTTTTTTATTTAAAAAAAAAAGATAAGTCCAAAATATATGGATATATCCATTTCCTGTCAAAAAGGATTCTTTACTATTTTCTAACTAGTTATTCTGTTGTATTCTATAATTCGATTAATATAGAATACCCTTTTTTCAAATATTAAGCAATAAGCAATTCTATTTATTCGAATACTTATAACTATAGACTAGATTCAAATATAGAATCTAAATTTTTCGATTTGTATGATTTAGTATTTAAGAAAAGGGCTTTCCATTAATAAGATTTTGAATTCTATTCAAAATCTTATTAATGGAAAGCCCTTATTTATAATAATTTAATATTTTATATTAATTTAATATTATCCTTGTCGTTGTTTATGTTTTGGATTCGAACAAATTACTATAAGTCGACCTCGCCTACGGATCAATCGACATTTTGCACAAATTTTACGAACAGAGGCCGCTACTTTCATATTTTTAACTCCTTAGAAATTCAATTGAATACCAAATTTATATATTGTAAGAAAATGGGGTTTCCTTACATTTTGAACTTAAAATTGTTCCTCCTAAAAAATATTTTCAAGTTATAAAAGAGTCGGGTGGTCGTCGCCATCGACGTCCCCAAGAATAGAAACCCTATCAATCAATAGGGCCAAAATCTTCATCAATCTCTTCCAAAATCAAAATCTTCCGACCGGCATTTCGAGAATAATGTTGATACAATAAACTGTGTACAAATTCTCGATCATATTGCATATATCCTACAACAAAATATGAATCTGAGGTGGCTGCTGAGCTCACCTTTATAAATAAGCCCTCATACTTAAGGTCTTTGTCTATTTACCTAAAGCAACCTCACCTTTACAAATTCTCGATCATATTGCATACATCCTACAACAAATGTAAGGTAATCATAGAGAAATATCCTTGGGTGTTTTTTTTTCTCTTAAAATTCAATTTACCTAAAGCAACCTGCAACGTTGCAGGTTGCTTTAGGTAAATTGATAGATTCAATAAAATTAAGCGAAGTACCCACCATGATTGTCATCGTCACTAGGACCAGCCAAACTAGAAGGTGGGATTCGAACTCTCGACCTCTCACACTCACAACTCCTTACACACGGTCTCTTGCCAATTGTGCCATTTTATTCATTCAAAATAAAGTGGCACTAGAAACCATGTAAAGGTAGGACAAATTTGGGGTGCAACAGGTAGCAGCCTAATACGCAGTACAATGTCAGTCCAATTTACTTATATCTTTGCTCCACTCCCCTACCCATTAAAGTATTTTGGATAATGCTAACAATTTAATCTTCACTTTTTCTAATTACTTTGTTGCTTTGTTGTCACGGTCCTTTAATAACTGTTTTATTAGTTTCTAATGATTTCATGCCGTACAAGTTATGGGTCTTTGTATGTGTGTTTTTAAATTGTTTTAATTTCTAAGTTTGGTTATGTAGAAGAACATTTATATGGAGAAGCTAGTACTAGATATGCAGAGTAGACAATCCGGAATAATGGATGCCACTGGGACCCTTCACCACTGACTGTTACCCTTCACCATGTTTTAAATGCCTATTCCTCCCAAAACTTTTGGGATTTTGGGATAGTTAGAATATATTCGTAGACCGGGCGTACTAATCTGTTTAAAATTTAAACAACTTTTAAAAGGATATGATCCTTTATTATTTCTTCTATACTTTAGAGTTAAAACTAAAAACTTTTTGTTGCTTTCTCGATGTTTTCTGACGTTTTCAAGAAAACCCTGTCGTAAAAGAATTTGAACAATGTTTTCGTTCATCTTAGTGAACGGTATTGGAATAATTCCTTTTCTATTCATGTCCGCATTGCGTAACAATGTGAACATATTTCCGATCATATCTTTGTTCATGATAGCCTCCTGTAATTATGTTTTTTTATGCTATTAGGTGGAAGAGAATAGGGTTTTCTTTCTAAGATAACGAAGCTGTATTTTTTTTATTTTTTTTATTTATAAGAGGTAGAATAACCCGGTTGAAGAGAGTATATATTTCATTTTTATTTTAATATTTTTCTCGAAAATAAGCAAATGAAAGGCTTTTATTCTGTACATGTTAAATCATGAATTAGTACATGGAATCTCCAAAAAAATAACCGTTGATGTATGTATCCTTAGGTCTATGTGTGTATATGGACCATAGATCCTGTTCATGGATATTTATGTATGGATCCCCTTTATATTTATATAATATATATATATATATATATATATATATATATATATATATATATATATATATATATAAATCCTACTACCGATTCATAGGGATACTCCATCAAATACCAAGTATAACGTATTATATCAGATTATAGCACCTCGGGTGCGAGTGAAATTATTTTAGTAAAATTTAACTGTCTCAATTCTCGGGCTATTGCGGAAAAAATTCGAGTTCCTTTTGGATCTCCCTGTTTATCAATGAGAATGGCTGCATTATCATCATATTTTATTATTATACCATTATGACGTTTTAGTTCTTTAGAGGTACGTACAATTACATCTCTGATGACTTGAGATCTTTCTAACGATGAATTTGGCACTGCTTTTTTGATTACAGCGACAATAATGTCACCCATATAAGCATACCGTCGATTACTAGCTCCTATGATTCTAATACACATCAATTCACGCGCTCCGCTATTATCGGCTACATTTAAATAGGTTTGAGGTTGAATCATATCCTTTTTTCTTATCTTTCAGTCAAAAAGTTGAAATAAAAAAAATATTGTGTGTTCAAAAAAAAAAGAAACGGAGAATTTCCTTTTTTCATACTAACATTCGTTCTAATGATTATTTGGAAAAAATGAATTGAGTTCGTATAGGCATTTTGGATGCCGCTATTGAAATCGCCTTTCTAGCGATATTTTCTAGGACCCCTCCCATTTCATAAAGTATTTTATGAATCGACTTACTATTTGCCCACTCGATTTTTGTTACAGAATGAAATTTGTAAATACAACTACATGATTATCTGAATTATATTGACTATATTCATTCTTTATCTTCTTTTCAAAAAAAACGATTGGATCCGTATCAATATCAATGGAATCTCATCATCCATCAATAACAAAGGTGTGGTCGATTCAATCCAATTATGTTAGAATAGTTATAATAACATTTGATCTGCATCAATGGACGATGGACTCCCAAGAAACGGTAGAAGAATGCGACCTATTATGGGACATACAATGCATTACAAACGTATGATCATTATGCTTGAACCGGCTTATTCGATTCCTTAGAATCGGGTTATTCTATTCCACCTCTTAGTTAGAAAGAAAAGAACTTAAACAATTAATAACATGGCGATACATAAAACTTCGAGCCCGAGCACACGCAATGGAGCCTTAAACAGTCAAGTGAAATCCAATTCACGAAATCGTTTGATTTCTGGACAACATCATTGTTGTAAAGGGCGTAATGCCAGAGGAATTATTACCGCAGGGCATAGAGGGGGAGGTCATAAGCGTCTATACCGTAAAATTGATTTTCGACGCAATGAAAAAGACATATGTGGTAGAATCATAACTATAGAATATGACCCTAATCGAAATGCACACATTTGTCTCATACACTATGGGGATGGTGAGAAAAGATATATTTTACACCCCAGAGGGGCTATAATTGGAGATACCATTGTTTATGGTACATAAGTTCCTATAAAAATGGGAAATGCCCTACCTTTGAGTGCGGTTTGAACTATTGATTTACGTAATTGGAAGTAACCAATTAGGTTTATGGCGAAACCTAGAAATCGATCTCTTATCCAATTGGAGTACCTCTACAGGATAGACTTCAACAGAAAACTGAAGAGTAACGGCAACAAGTGATTGAGTTTAGTAGTTGCTAATATACCATTATTGACCCTAGAGATATAATAATATGGAGAAGACAAAATTGTTTCAAGCACCGACAGAACACGAAGCGCTCCTCGTTTCAAACAAATAAGGGGGAGACCCGGATTATTCACATTTCATTTGATGGTCAAGGACAAATTGAAAGCGAAGCAGTGGTAATTCTAAGGATTCCCCCAGGAAAAAATAGAAATGTCTCCTACGTTACCCGTACTAGGTGTAAGTAGCAACGTAATTTCATAGAGTCATTCGGTCGGAATGCTACATGAAGAACATAAGCCAGATGAAGGAACAGAACAGAAAGACCTAGGATGTAGAAGATCATAACATGAGTCATTCGGAAGATTTGGATTCATATAATATATATCCACTCATGTGGTATGGTACTTTGTTATGTCATTTATAATCTACGAAATAAACGATATATAAGATGCAGCTGTATAGATATTAGAATCTACATCCAGAAAGCTGTATGCTTTGGAAGAAGCTTGTACAGTTTGGGAAGGGGTTTTGATAAGAATCTACTTCAACCGATATGCCGTTAGGCACGGCCATACATAACATAGAAATAACACTTGGAAAGGGTGGACAATTAGCTAGAGCAGCGGGTGCTGTAGCGAAACTGATTGCAAAAGAAGGTAAATCAGCAACATTAAAATTACCTTCTGGCGAGGTCCGTTTGATATCCAAAAACTGCTCAGCAACAGTTGGACAAGTAGGGAATGTTGGGGTAAACTAGAAAAGTTTGGGCAGAGCCGGAGCTAAACATTGGCGAGGCAAGCGTCCTGTAGTAAGAGGGGTCGTTATGAACCCTGTAGACCATCCACATGGGGGTGGTGAAGGGAGGGCCCCAATTGGTAGAAAAAAACCCTCAACTCCTTGGGGTTATCCTGCACTTGGAAGAAGAACTAGAAAAACGAATCAATATAGTGATAATTTGATTCTTCGTCGCTGTAGTAAATAGTCGAGCGTAAGCGTAGATAAAATAGAATTTGTTTCTTCGTCTTTACAAAAGAAAATAGCAATTTACTGGGACATTATAGGATTTTCTTTTTTTAGAGATTCTATATTTTAGAATTGGAAATATAAGAGAACAAAATTAACTTTTTTAGTTATTATAGGAGG